GTGAAACTGAGAAAACTTTGACTTTAAAACACTAGTAATTTTTTTTTTGTTCTGTTATATGTTTTTCAGCAAGCGTTGAACTACAGTTGAAATTTTTACTCATAAACTAAATGCAATGGTATAGTTACAAATAGCAGATCAATTTATACTTGATATGCGCAAAAACTAACAGAAAATATGACTTCTGAAAAAAGCCAATCATGCATTCATAATACGGACTAACTGTAACACTATCAAAAAAAATGAAAACAAAGAACAAAATTTGCTGATTCTTCAAGAGAAAGATCTAGATGAACTTTCCTCACTTGTTCAGAAGAATACATGTCTGCTACTGGCACGAAACCACGAGAGTTCGATTTGTTTTGCCTATGTGTCGTGCTAGAGGCTTTAAGTTCATAACCACTATTTTTTTAATGTTCTTACAATTAGTAAGTATCATGGATGCATGAGTGGCTTTTTTCAGAAGTCATATTTTCTCTAAGTTTTTGCGTATATCAAGTATAAATTGATCTGCTATTTGTAGCTATACCATTGCATTTAGTTTATGAGTAAAAATTTCAACTGTAGTTCAACGCTTGCTGAAAAACATATAACAGAACAAAAAAAAATTACTAGTGTTTTAAAGTCAAAGTTTTCTCAGTTTCACTTCTAATCGTAGAATTTCTGTTCTTTTGATATTATTTCGTGAAACTAGATCTAGTTTCTTAGTTTTAAGTGGATACGGAACATGAAAGAATTTATTTGTTGGCAAAATTTGACTAGTGGATGACGAAAGTTCAAGAAATGTCCAAAACCTTGAAATTTTGGAAATAAAATATTTCTGATAAAACATCAAATAGAATAGAGAAGGAAGAAAATAATTAATACTACAATAAAATATAAAAACTGAAGGTTTGGAATGCTTTAAAAGATAAGAAAATATGCCTTTTGCCAAGGGGGCTTATAATTATAGTACAGACATTTTCTAGCTTTCTTCAGTTTTTTTTCAAAGAGCAAGAGATGAAAGAGGGAGTTTAGGAAATCCGATAGTACTTAAGTAATCTTACATAGACGCGCAAGTAACATATTTATGTCATTCGTTTTTGAAATAAAATAAATATTTTTGTATGTTCATATGAGGGGGCGACTATAATTTTGGCAATCACTGTACTAAGCTAGCTTTTCACTCTATTAGAGATACATCACAAGGAATACAGTTTAAGAGTATCTATTCACAACACATCTAATTGTAATCCTTGCATACAATTCAGAACGAGTTTGACGACCCAGTTTCTGCTCGTATCGAAATCGTATTTGGTTATAAAATATTATTTTACAGATAGAGATCATAAGATCACACAGATATCTACGCCTAAATTATTTTGGCTTAAGGTCAGAGATTAGCTTAGTGTAGTTATTATGGTCAAAAATTCGCTGCGCATCATGACTAAGATAAAAATGTAGCAGTATTTTAATTAGGACCAAAACATAGCTTGCTGTCACCATTAGTGTTAAAAAGCCTGTCACGGAAGCCTCTTTGGGGCTGAAATGTGGAACTCACATATCTCCTTTGATTTCATTACACTAATGACAAAATGCCCAATATTTAAAATCTCCAAAATATAAAAAATTTTATTCTAAAGATAATCAATTATTAGAAAATGCTATATTTCTATCTGTAAGTTTCGAACAGAATTCTTTTTCCGAAGTTGCTACAGCCTGTAACGGAGGGGGAGAGGAGCCGTCAGCCCCGAACTGAAAACTTACACTCACTATTTTCTTCGAAAACATACGTGAGCCCCACAAATAGCGTTGGGTTGTTTTTAAAGCAACTTTTTGTTTCATCTTTTCTGGATATCTTCTCTTCAACTTTGGTATGACAAAAACCGAACTTCTTTTCTCACGAACTTTTGTATTTAGATGAAGTCCGGCACTACCTACAAAAATGTTAGCGGGATATTTGCTTATTTTCGGTATGAATGCTGTGAAAAATCTGTTTTTTTCTCAAACCGGACCTTTTCGCTTGAATCTTGCAAGAGTGTTTTCATTAGGTTCAAAAATTAGCTCACTATTGTTATTATGAAAATAGGCCCTACACTCTGAAAAAATCGGTTTTTCACGAGGCCCCCGAAAAATGTTCGGGAGATTTGAAAAAGCATCCTATTGCATCCAAAGGCTAGAAAAAAGCTTCTTGAGTTCTTCTAAACCTTTAAAGGTCCTTCCCCCGGGCACACGGGAATAACCTTCTCCTGCGAAACCTTGTTTTAAGTTCTATACAGCAGAAAGGGTTTCGTAAGAAGACACAAAAACTTTAGAGTGTATAATTAGGGTGAAGGCGTGGGTGTGGATGGGTGTGAGTGTGGATGTGGGGTGAGGGTGTTGTTTGAGACATGATCAGCACCCACACACACACCATCAAGAGGGCACTCCTAAGATTATGCATATGTAAAATTATTTTTAATCTAGTGTAAAATCGCTGAGAACCAAATTAATTAAGACATGTTACGCGTTTTAGTATCGTTATTAGGGACAATTACTCTATAGGTATGAGTGTACCTTTTTTCTCTTAACGTGCACACACCTACCAACTCGGTTGGCTACCAAATAATATGCTTACCACCTGACTTGACAGTCAATTCTACCGACTCGGAGAGCATCTCACATCGATCTAACTGCCCTAGTCTCATGGACTAATTATCTAAAATTTAACTGTTGTCTATATGACCGATTAAACTCAACTTCCATTAGTTTTCGGTACTAAATGTACCCGGCGACAATAGACTACTGTCCATTTCGAAAAAAAGGCGTGAGGGCATTCTTTGAATAATTTTTGATAGGAACAAAATAGAAAGCTGCGGTTTTCATCGTTGGAAGGAGGCAATGAAAATACACCGATTTGTGTTTTTCAAATTTTTTCTCGCAAGCTTTTTAAACGTTTTTTCACAATTTTTTTTTAAAAATTGACCATTTTAGACGTGAAAAAAATTTTGAATTTTTATTAAAAACTAAGAAAAAAGCGATTTTTTCGTTAAAAAATGACCAAAAGCACAGTAACATGTTCATAACTCAAAATTAGCTAAAGACAATAATGTCGGGCTTATATAGCTGATACAACTTTCGTTAGCGATTCTAGAGCCCTCCTGAAAGTTAAAAGTCCATCATATTCACATGGTGTAACGTTTTGTCTTTTGAAAAATTGTTGATGAATCCTTTAAATACCTCTCAGAAAAATCTGAACTATAAAAATCGATACAATTTCATCGCTTCTTCCCAACGGTAAAAACCGCAGCTCTCTATCTTGTTTCTATCAAAAGTTATTCAAAGAACACGTACCCGCCTTGTTTTTTTGGAATGAGTAGTAGATCAGTGTTTGTATTTACAGCCATAGGACCTCGAAAGCGTGCTATATCTCGTATTCCGAAGCAACTCAGTGAGAGATATTTCGTAATATCCATAGTTTGCTGTATCTCCTAGAAAGAATAGTATGTTACAATCTCCTTCACGTATGATCAAGTTTTAGATCAAATCAAATCTTTTTTCACAAAAGAAAAATAATTTCGGTGTGCGATCTCATAGAATCTATCATCTACCAATTGCTGCGCTCCGTTGAAGCTAGTATGGATTCAACACTTCAACCTGTTACGAGTCTTCCAAAGTTAATGAAATCCCGCGTTGTTGAAAACTACGTTCTTGTTTGGCTGGATATTAGATTTGATGAATCTGTTGAATATTGCAAGAGTGCACTAACGAAATTTCAGAGTATCGTCAACTCAATCAATACATTTATTACTGCTGATGAATGCATGGATTTTGTTACGGACATTACAAAGGAAAAAGTGTTCATGATTATAACGGACTCCATTGCTCTACAGATTGTTCCTGTCATACAAGATCTATCGCAAATCGACTCAATATATGTTTTCTGTGACAATGAACTGAAGAATGAAACGTGGACAAAGAAACGGACAAAAGTTAAGGGTAGTTTCACTGATATTGACGAATTATGTAATTCTCTCAAACGGGATACTCGTAACTGTGACTATAATATGACTTCGGTCAGTGTAATGCGTACTCTAGATTCACTAGATCGAAATCCGGATGAACTTGATCAATCATTCATGTATTCGAAAATTTTGAAAGATATTCTATGCGATATGAAATATGGCGAAGATTCCAAGCAAATCCTAGTTCAATTTTGCCGCCAACAATACCATGAAAGTGTATCACAAAGGGTCATAATCGACGAATTCGATCAAACATATCACATGCATTCACCCATATGGTGGTATACTCGAGAATGTTTTATATATCACACGCTAAATAGAGCTCTGAGAACGCAAGATGTTGAAGTTATTATTAAAATGGGGTTCTTTGTGCGAGATCTTCATGAACAAATCTGCGCCTTGCACTCAGAGACATCAAGCTTTCGTAGTCAATTTACTGTATATCGAGGTCAAGGAATGATCAAGACTGAACTAGAAAAAATTCAAACGAACAGGGGTGGACTGATGGCATTCAATAATTTTCTGTCGACCAGTACTAATCGTCAATTATCTATGCTTTATGCTGAAAGTGCCGGAGAGAATCCAGAGTTACATGGGATCTTGTTCGATATAACAATTGATCCAACTCTCACACCAAATCCTTTTGCATCATTGAATAATGTCAGTTATTATGGTGATATGGAAGAGGAAATTCTATTTTCGATGCACACAGTCTTTCGCATAGGTGATATGGAACAGTTAGAAACTGGAGTACTGCAAGTAAAATTAATATTAACCAGCGATGATGATCAACAACTCAGAATTCTTACTGAATATACGCAGCACGAGACTTCATATGGGACACAATGGCACCGTTTAAGCAATGGGATGATATAAATGGGCGAATTCGACAAAGCTGAGGAGATCTGTCAAATAAGACATGGGACTGTATCCAATGACGATGCTGAAAAACATTCGTACTATACAGATATGGGAAATATTAAGCGTTTGAAAGGTGATTATGAGAATGCACACTTATTTTTCTCAAAAGCACTCGAATTACAAAGAAAAATACCTGAATTAGATCAGCATAGTATTTGTTTGACATACGCAGATTTTGCTTTACTACATGGAGCCATGGGAAACTACTCTTCTGCACTCTCAATGAATCTACACGTACTTGATATTCAACAAAAATATAATTGCCTTAATCAACATTCATTATCTAATGTATACCATAACATTGGCGATGCTCACCTGTTGATGTGTGAGTATTCGAGTGCACTTGTATTCTACAAAAAAACAATAGAAATAGACCAAATGTATCTTCCACAAAACCATCCACGTATATCCAATACATTTAATAGCATCGCTAATACATATCGAATGCTGGGCGAGTTCTCCACGGGTCTTTCTTATTGTCAAAAGGTACTGGAAATTCGGAAGAAAACTCTTCCTTCGGATCATCCTTCTTTGGCTACTATCTATATCACCATTGCTTTATTGTATGAAGCAACGGAAGACTACTCCAATGCACTCTTCTTCCACGAGAAAGGGCTTGAGATACGTCAAAAAGTTCTCAGTGCATCACATCCTGATTTATGTTTTACGTATAGTACGATCGGTTCTGTATATAACAATATGAGAGATTACGCCAAAGCACTCTCGTATTGTTGCAAAGCTCTTGAGATACAACAAAAGATTTTACCATCTGATCATCCTGATTTGGCCTTGACTCTAAACTATATTGGTATCGCACATAACGGTTTGAAAGATCCGTCAAAAGCACTCTCATTCCATCAACAGGCACTTGAAAGTCTACAAAAGTCACTTTCGGACCATTTAGAACTCGCTCGCACCTATAATTATATGGGCATTTGTAAATCTAATATGGGAGATTATACCAGTGCAATCTTACTCCACCAGAAATCACTGGATATGAAGCAAAAATGTCTGCATTCTCATCATCCTAGTATGGTTCGTACCTATAGACCTATGGCGAATGCATATTATAATATAAAAAAGTACTCTACAGCAATTTCTCTATATACGAAGATACTGGAAATTATTGAAATAAATCCGTCATTTAATGAAGAGTACTGCGCACATGTGTACTTTGACATTGCTCGGACACATGCTCAAATGAACAATAACGCCACTTCATTAGCATTTTACAAAAAAGCTCTCAACGTAGAAGAGAAACAATATCCAACTGATGATCTTGCTCTAAGCAACCTCTATACATGCATTGGTCAACAGCATGAGCTCATAGGGAACTACTCTGAGACTCTCTTGTTCTTTGGAAAGACTCTTGAAATAAGAGAGAAGTCTTTATCTTCAGATCATTCTAGTCTAGCGTTTATCTATAAGAGCATTGGTGCTGTGCATCGCATCACGGAAAACTATTCAGAGGCACTGATTTTCTTTCAAAAAGCACTAGAAATAGAACAAATATATCTCTCTCCTGACGACCACAAGTTAAGTGTTACCTACAATAATTTTGGTCATATTTATATACATCTAAAGAAGTATCCAGTAGCACTTGATTATTTACAGAAGACGCTGAAAATTCGACAAAAAACCTGTTCACCAGATGACCCAGCTATGAGTAATATCTACAATAATATCAGCACAGCATACCAATTTATGGAACAATTACCCAATGCACTGTGCTTTTTACAAAAGGCCTTGGAATTCGACAAGAAAATATTGCCTGAAAATCATCCAAAACTTATTGATAATTATCAAAAACTTGCGCTTATCCATTATTCAATGGGAAACTACGAAGAAGCATCAATATACATGCAGCTTCTGCAAGAATCAGATAATACAATTATTGCTAAATGTTCAACTCACAAGCCATAGCGAAGAGAATTCAATTATATTTGAAAGGAACCGTTAACATTTATGGCTGAGTGATTACGCAATAAAACAGTGCACACATGAAAGGGACTAGAATTCGAGTATTCTAATATGCAACAGAAACGGTGGGGTGTGGGTGGGAGCCGGCAATATGAGCACGAGAAATTTGAGCACGGAAAGATGAGCACAGAAACATGGGCGCATGAAAGATAAGCAAAAAGCATGCTCAGCAACTGACTAACTAAGCACAACACCAATTATCAGACGTACACAGTGATATGTTCGATCACTAAATTGAATATACTCTGAACACTAAACAACATGTATAAACTAGAAATTGGATAACAAACTATGTCAACTTGAGTCTAACGATCTAATCAATTACAAAAACTACAAATAATGCTGCATGATGTATGTAACGACAATGTATTGGTTCACAATGTTGAAAATATC